CCGTCATGGTAAACTCGTCCAACCTCTATTTTCACTACTTTTAAGGAGCCATATCTTTCTCGAAATCGAAAAATTCTCTCTTTTTCTTCACTACCGATAGACTATTCCCAACCTATACTTTCGCTTTTCAAATAAAAACGGGTACCTGTGAACCGTGCCTTTCACGCTGCCGTTGGTTTAGCAAATATTGATTTCTCACGCAAAGATCAATGAGATGAACTAACCTGTCATCTGTTCAGTAATGCCAGCGGCAAGAATAACTGGCACAGTGAGGTACATATGTATTGAAAGCAACACCAGTACAGTGTTCCATGTCTGGGGCAGTCGACGGCCACATATAATACGCACTAGACGATGTGCGATTCGATGTCGACGCCTCATCGCCACATTCTAGAAGTACAAGTTTAGGCTGAGCGAAATGACTACGACAACATTCTTGTTCCAATAGGCGATCGTAAGTTGCAAAGATGGCTGGCACTCCTACAAATTTACTACAGGATTTCATTTATTTATTTCTGCGCCGAAATGACGCGCTATCACATACCGAGTAGGACGCATAAGCACAAAGTAAGCACAGGCCAAATTTCAAGTCAATAAACTGACAAGAGCATTGAAACCATATAGGCCAAATTCTAAAAAAAGAAATAATAAAAAGGAACCCTAAAAATGGAGAACGATATGAAGAGGCGCCTCTGGCGAAAACTGATTTATTCGCAAGAATGCACTTGAAGCAGCTGTTTCAGTCAAAAAAGCTGTGGAGTACGGTATTTAAAAGCGACAAGAAACTGCTTGCAGTGAACTCGTGAATGATGTAACAGCCAGACACCCATCCAAGCAGCCGCTAACAAAATGTCCTCCTAGTAATGAATCATCTAAACGGAATTCCAATCCACAAAACGCCATGGGAGATTGACCTTCCCAATGTACCCACGCCAGGGTGTTCGCTTTTCGTTCCAGCTCTGCAGCTCAGAGCATTAGCAAAGGTGTTGGGCATTCATACCTCACCATTTGGCCAAGAGAATCAATGAAGTGGAGCAGTTCGGTGTAATCGATGGATATCTACTTTTGATTATGATTACCTGCGTGCGACACTGCCTTTTTCGATTACATTCCAACGAAATGTCAGCCACGCATTGGCAAGATACCACTGGCAATAAGTAAAGTATGCGAGTAGGGAAACTAGGATCTGCTGTTGCATAGCGAGAAGTTGACATTGTATAGAACCCGATGCGAGTTTATGTATTTTGTTGTTTGGCTTTTATTTATCAATCTCCATACCATACAAAAAGGGCTTACGAGTTAAGCTCAAGCTACTTGCTCGCTTTGCCATGGGATTCCCAAAGAATGGACTTTACACGGACTGCATTTTTTGCATCGTTGGAAGTGCACTCGGCTCGCTGGTTCGAGGCGAACGTGATTTCCTCCGTTTTCCCATGTGTTTATGCCTGGCCTAGCTCTGTTTGGTCCCTGTGAGCTCCGAAGAGTTTTCTGTTGCTTTCAACGACGACCTACCGAATTAGGAACTCGGTTCATCATGTATTCAAATGATGTGTAGTTTCAAGTGGCGCGCTATCTCACACACATGGTCATGGGTTTGAATACCTGTCCAATATCCGCCTAGGCCAACCAAGCCTCCCCTCCTTGAGGGGTCGATCAATTGGTGTTAGACTCGTCTGAGTGGATAAAAGCACTGACTTGTACGTCGGCCGGCCGCCACTAGTTTGTGTAGACCACATACGCATTCAATACGCCACTAAAATTCTGAATGGAAGTCGAAGGTGGCGCATTCCACAAAAGGGACTAACTTAAGCCCAAAGACTTTTATTCTTTTTATACAAATAATTTGTTCGACATCGGGACCGCATAGCTCCTCAACCTTCCATCTTACTTCCTATATGTTCTATCCGATTTTCCCTACACTAAACCAAAGGCTTGCAAAATAGGATGGGAGTGACAGGAGCGTAAAGGACCTTCAGAACATGCAAGCACTTTTCTCGCACGAGCGGAGAAACAGTAAATACCTCAATCTCCCACCGGATTTCTACCGTAACCCAAGCATTTGACCTGCTTTCAGGATCATAGTGGTGGATACGTACTTGGTTTACATTCATGCGTATGTGAGCATATCTTCATTACTGTTGGCTCTAGCTAACCTGAGCCAATTCTCGAATTAGGGGCCATTCGATTACGCTAAACACTACGGGACTTGGAGGGTTCGATGACTGTTATTTGGTGTTTCCCGAATTTATTCATGATGGTAGCAAGACTTCATGCCGGCTCAGCAGTAATAATCGAACGGTGAACAAATTATTTAATTCATTTTAACTAACGCCCCAGTGTGATACCACCCTTCCCCGCCTTAACGCTCAATTCCTATCCGGGCAAGAAATATCATCAGGGCGATAGCAAAGAACTTTCTAGCTTCATTGCAAAAATGCTTCTGTTGTTCGAAAACTATTCACCGTAGAGGCATAATCCTCGATACGAAAGGTAAACGAAATTCCCTACCAGCACAGATTTTCTCTTCCGCAAGGGCGTTGCCCGGTAGAAAAATAGAGCGCAATAAGGGCTCACAGATCGACGGCACCCTACCACTCCTCGCTGCAGTGGTGTTTTGACAGATTTGCAAAGGGCACACAAATAAGAAAATTCAAAAAGCTGGTCAAGCGGAACCTGACCCATCGTGAAGTGAAAGCGACTTCTGGTAGTGGCTGAAATCACGTCCAAACACTTCCTTCGACGTCATGATCTCGCACAAGCCCGAAAGTTTGTGCGAGATCATGACAAAGTTTGAAGGAAGCTCCCATTTCATTAACTTTTATTGTTTCTCTTTTCAATCGAAGAAGGGACTGAATTCCTGATGAAAAATGTGTCAAAGCCCTATTAGTTCGAGAAAAACTATTGACTGCTATAACAATACTAGTTAAATGAATGTATAGGGTCAATAGGCTGAAGAAATTCGGCCCTCACTTCCACGATGTGCCAATTTTTGATTGAGCACCATTTCGTACGCTAAATATGCCCTAAAACGGGACTTAGGTTCAGTACAAACTATCTGAGGTGTGAGAGTAACAATTCGTTCGAGAATGAACAAATGCCGAGAATGCAATGGTAAGTAAAGAGCCGTCTACCTATAGAAGGAGGGAAGGAGTTTTGAATGGGGTGAACGGATGTGGTTATAAGCGGGCTCAGTCAGTGAAGCGGATACTGACGAGCAAAGGAGAAAAGGCTTTGACATTCATGTGGACCAGAAGCCTCGATCTGTGGTGACTAGTAATGAATCCTTCACCACCAAGTATATTTCTTCGAGTCAACATGAAATGAATCCGAGGATCATTGCGATCCCGGGAGTTCCAAACAGCATCTGTGCAACATGCTTCACGGTAACCCGCATGGGGATACTCTTGCTGATAACCAATCGCAGTGAGTTCACTACCAGTAAGGAGCTTTCTAAAATTGCACCATTCCGTTAATTTTTACTTATATGGGTAGGATCCTTTTTTGAGAGGCTGAATAAGAGATAAAATATCGATAGCTCTAGGGACTCCACCATTTCCTTGTTTAAAGGTACTACTGATGTCTTATTCATGATAGTGACTTGGAGGCGCGAATATTGTGAAGAATCGTTCCCTGAATGAGTTGCGCACTTATTTCGGGACCATTTTTCAGCGAATTTTTGAAATATGAGAGACATTCGGACCGTCAATCTAGTAATCTTAGGTAGTCTCTTTTTTATGAAGGCAATTTCACAAGATAGGGCTAACAACATGGGTGACGAAAGGATTCGGATGGAGGGATGTCTTTTGGAATAATAACAATATCGAGCAGAAGGTGCATAGTACTAAGTAGTGCACCGTCTCACGCATGGTCCGAGTATCGGATGCTGATCAATATCCCAGGCCAACTTCTGAGAGATCGACCGAAGCTGCTCAACAGATGGATAAGTGACTCGAGCCCACCCAAAGATTGGTAGTACGTGGTTGAGAATGAAAATGATAAGAGTTGATAGATGGAAAAGTTAGTCAGAGAATCACAGGTAGAAAGTAACTGGTGGTACGAAGTCATGTGGCAGCTGCTTTGAAAAGATTATGTAGAGATTTTTCATTTCCAGAGATTTTAGACATTTCCTGACTCCACTTATAATATCCTGACATTCATTTTCTGGAGTGATTTGAGTCCATGGAAGAATCCCGGAAATCCCGGAAAGCTATATATAAACAGTCAAACGTGAGAAATACACTAT